TACAACACATACACTCTTCAAACCTGTTTTAGATTATTCTGGGCTCGTAGCAGAATGCATAAAACAGTTTGTGATTTGTGAAACCTTCCTCTGATTTGTGAAACTTCAAAAAAGACAGATTTATGAATTTATTTTTCAGCATTTGGCCCACACTGGAACTGGTCCTGTGCACCCAAAAATTATTATTTTTTTTCTGAACAAGCTTAGCTTTCAATATCTCTAAATATTTTTCAGTTATTGTGTGTGGTATTGTGCTGGGTCATTCGACTGTGGTTGCACAAATCAGGTGTCCTGCAACAGGTACAATAACTTTGAAATAGTAGCCGCTTCTCTAATTATTGCCTCCCTCCTTCTGATTCTGTTTCAGAATAATCCTATCCTTATAAAAAATTTTGTCGACTGACTGCTTTGATCGGGTTTGGTTTATATTAATATTACCGGATTTAAGCACATGTAGCTGCAAATTATTCAGGAGTTAGAGGCCTTTAAATATAGATCTAAAATGAATATCGGACTTCTTCAAGTGACACTGACAAAATTCCTTACATGTGCTTGTATTCTTCATTTGCTAATAAGATGTATTTTTATCTAAATTACAGGACAATCGAGGCTTTGAAAAATGGAACCCAGGTAGTGATTTCAGATGGTGAAATCAAGGTAATGTTTAATTATAATAAATTAAGACTCTAAAATTGGACATAGGATAATGCAATCCCTTGTTTTCTGTGGTAATGTTGCTTATTTTTAACTCTTGTCTCTACTCAGACTTTGTATAAGGATCTCTGCAGCGGTAGAGTGAAGTCTGGCCGCATGTATCTGTGGCACAATCCAGGTGTCTCGCTTAAATTAAAGCAAAGACTAAAGCCACTGATGTTCCACTTTGCTGATGCACAGGTAAATGTATACTGACTTACAATAAGCTGCATCACATTTATTTATCTCGATGCGTGGCCAGTGGGCCACCTGGGTCCGTTGTCCAATGCTAAGAGGAATGTTTTGTTCATTTTTATGTTAACGTGTTTTATAGGTTGACGAGCTGACAGAGCGGATTGGTTCATGCTCTGGAATAGATAAACTAATAAAGAAGGGAGAGTTCCAGTTTCTGGACTTGGTGTTTGATGTCCTTGTTCCAGAGGTACAACGCTGTCTTCAGCAGTGGTTGGTATAAAAGTTACTTTTCTAAAACATTTGACAGTGTATGAAGTAATCCTTAACAGAGTTTGGTGGCAGAAGAATCTCGTCTCTGCTTTTTGCGGATGATGTGGTCCTCCTAGTTTCATCCAGCTCTGACCTTCAGCTCTTGCTGGGTAGGTTCACGGCCGAGTGTGAAGCGGCTGGGATGAGGATCAGCACCTCGAAATCTGAGACCATGGTTCTCGGCCGGAAAAGGGTGGCTTGCCAACTCCGGGTCGGGGGAGAGGCCCTACCTCAAGTGGAGGAGTTTAAGTATCTCAGGGTCTTTTTCACGAGTGAGGGTGGGAGGGATCGGGATATCGTCAGGTGGATTGGTTCGGCGTCTGCAGTGATGCGGACGCTGAGCCGATCTGTCGTGGTGAAGAGGGAGCTGAGCCAGAAAGCCAGGCTCTGGATTTACCGGTCGATCTACGTCCCAATCCTCACCTATGGTCATGAGCTTTGGGTAATGACCGAAAGAACGAGATCGCGGATACAAGTGGCCGAAATGAGTTACCTTCGTAGGGTGGCCGGGCTCAGCCTTAGAGATAGGGTGAGGAGCTCGGACATTTAGGAGGGACTCGGAGTAGAACCGCTGCTCCTCCGGATCGAAAGGAGTCAGTTGAGGTGGATTGGGCAACTGGTCAGGATGCCTCCTGGACGCCTCCCTGGTGAGGTGTTTCGGGCATGTCCTGCCGGCAGGAGGCCCCCGGGTCGACCCAGGACACGTTGGAGAGGTTACATCTCCAATCTGGTCCGGGAACGCCTTGAGGTCCTGCCGGAGGAGCTGGTGGAGGTGGCCGGGGAGAGGACGGTCTGGAGCTCCCTAGTTGGGATGCTGCCCCCGCGACCCGGACCCGGATAAGCAGAGGAAGACGACGACGACAACAATGAAGTAATCCTGCATGTTTTTCAGGTAACAATAAAAGTGTTGGAAAAATGGGAGGGGATGAATCGATATGCAGCTGAGAAAGCCATGCTTCAGCAAATTAATTTGTACCCAAAATAAAATGGTTGTGAAATTAAGTGTTTCTTTGGTTTTCTTGTCTTTCACTCAAAATAAATACCAACTAGCTAAATAGTTATCAGCTGTCGTAGTTAAATTCTGTTGCAATAAGCTGCTGTGATACACAATAGGACAGAGTTACAGATATTTTGTTACTAATTTTTGTTGCTGGTGAGAGAGGAGCGTTGCTGAAATGTTTTTCACTGCTTCTGGGAGTCCTGCACTTTAGCAATTTGTGTAGGTCAAAAGTTCATCTTGGGCTTAACAATAAAACTGAATATTTAGCCAGTACTATTTTGTTTGCACATTTTGAAAAGTCTTAGTTTAATGTGTTCTCATTTTTTCCATATATGTTTTTTTATTCACTTTACAGCCTTTTATTGTTGTGTGTGTGCGTGTGTGTATATACACACACACACACACGCACGCACGCACGCACACACACACACACACACACACATATGTATGTGCTAGGGCTACTGTCAAAAATTCCCTGTCTGAAGGACAAAGGTATTTAATATTCAATTTTCATGCAACGTAGGTAACAATGTTATTTAAAAGTTTGCCAGTCCAGATCTAAAGAGAAAAAAAATCCGAAATAAAAAGCTGTTTCCGGTAAGTTTTGTTTAAAAAAAAAACTACTTCCAGTGAAAGTAATGACTTCTGGTTAAGGTAATGAACCACCGTGTAATCTTTCTCTTAAATATGTACATATCGAAGAGAAAAACGACACGGTATGGTTTTTCTCGACAAATCCAAACTACTTCCGGCAAAGGTAATGACTTCTGGCGAAGGTAATGACCTGATGTCTTGTTTTTACGGATACGTCATTTCCTGTCACGGCAAAGACGCCAGCTGATGTCTGCAGCCAGATGCTTGTGAAAATTATAACAGTTCTTCCTTTCATACTGTGAGTGCAGTGTGAGCAGAGATATGGTGGGCAGTGTGGTCTTGGATTCACTGGTTGTATCACTGCAAGAAGTGATTTTAAAAACGAATGCCGATTTCACACTGGATGCATCAGAACGGTTTACTCGCAAACTTCAAAGCTGTCCTTTTCACACCAGGAGAGACTTGGCGCGGCGTCCTTGCTGTGCTCTTTGCTCGACTCAAGATCACAAAATCCATCGAGATTTCCACCGTCCTCCTCGCTTGACTCGTGAGATCACAAGATACCTCGAGACTTCAGAGGTCAAGCTTTGTTCATGCAATTTGCCATCAAACCAGAAAGAAGGAAATCACGTTTGATATTACTGTTTGATGCCATGTCTGATGTTGTTTCTCTCCACTGCCAGGATTAAAGCCATGAAAAACACACCGCTGCACTTCTGGAACAATACTGGAAGTAAATAAGCCGTAGGGTCACACGTAAGCTACACATATATGAAATAGCATTGCTGCAGTACTTTTATTTTGAAAATTACTGGAAATTTTAATCTGAAACCGTGTGTGATTTCCTGACTAGCCCTATGTTAACGGTGTAAATCGAAGTGTCCCAGAAGCAACAATAGAACCAGATCCTATCTTTAGCGGCGCCGCTTTTGGGACGCACCTGAAAATTGCCATGTCACAGCTAGTTTGAAACACATCATAGACTATGATGGATTCTATTTGAAGCAGTGACGTTCCGCTGCCGTTCCGCACCACTGATGCTTTCAGAGTAAAAACGGGGCAAGTTTAATTTTTGTCCTCCTGGTTCTGCCCTTGTTATTTAGGCAATTTAAAAAAAAAATTTCCACCTTAAATGCCTCCAGACTGAACTGGAAGTGAGACAGTATTTTGCACTTGCAAATAACAAGAAAATTCTATGTAAAAATCACATCATTAAAATGGATAATGATGAAATTTCTGTTCTCCTAAAAAAGCATTTGAATGAATGTATAACACTGAAATAATTTTAAGATAGAAGTAATTTGCATTGGACTTGACCCCACTTGAGCTAGCCACTAGTTAGTAAAACCAGACATTCATCTGTATTTCTCCAAACTGCAGTTGTTCAACCATCTTTTCTGGTCGGATATTATTTTTCCACAGAACCTGAATAAGGAAATTAGCATAATACCTTTAGCAAGAATTATGCAGGTATTGCTGCAGTTCCTAGCCTTTGTTCATGGACATGCTTACCCTGCATACACACATTAAAAATTAGCAATTACAAACTGAGTTATAACTCTTACACAGAGTTTTAATTATACTATTGGGTGTGTTATTGGGATTTTATAAATGTAATGTTTACACATATATTATTGGTAACCACAAAACCTCAGCAGAGACAAAGTTGTGGGGATACCTTACAATCTCTACGGACCCCCTTGGAGGGTTCACTGACCCCAGGTTGGGGATCACTTGTGTAGACCATTGATTTCCAAACTTTTCAGCTCCTGCCCCATAGACAAAATTGGTATGACTTATAAAGACAACCCCAAATAACATTGGTTGACGTTTAGGGACAATGTTAAAAAAAGAACTGCAAAATGAAAACAGAATCCACTTCAACCTGATGTCCATTTTAACTATTATTCTTAGATTTCATCATTCATATTATAAATATTACATTCTAAATAATAATAATTTATTTAAATGTTTTTTTAATGACCTGAAGACCCCAAACTTAAGTGTTTTGCGTCCCACATTGGTGCTCTGACCCCAAATTCAGAAACCACTGGTTTAGGCAAAACAGAAGGTTCTGGAAAAAAAGATGATCTTCAAAAAATAGGATGAAATAAGAAGGTTGGAATCATTGTCCTTTCTCTTGATAACAAAAAGTAACATAAAATAATCAACAGAAAGCTGAAATCTACAAAATATATTTGAAACCAACCTGGGAGAGATCCACATTCCTTGGGAGGTTGAGGCCGGAAAAGTCCATGTCAGAGAATCCCGAGTACATGTCCGAATGCATTTCTGTGACGTTGGTGGTAGTGCTGCTGTTCAAGTGGTATTGCCTGGAGAGGAAAGAGGATGTTTGGTATGTTTATTATGAAGTATTGAAGTAAAACTGGCACCGATAAGCTTCTGACTCATTTGGTTTTAGTTTGTAACCTTTAAAGAAGTTAAACTAAACAGCTTTTTACTTCTGAACTAAACAGAAAGTCCTAGAAGAGTTAAAAAGACTACATAAAAGCATCACATGTGAAGCATTAGGTGTCAAATTCAGACATATTCTTTCCAAACACATCACGTGTTTATCACATGTTTAACAACTGAAACATTTTCACTTTTCTTTGCTGATGTTGTAAAAGGTTCAGCGTCATGGTTACAATGCAAATTATTGAGTAAGTTGAAGATATAAACGAGAACATGAGTGTCCAGAGCTGATAATAACTAACTGCCAGACAAAGATGGTAAATGGTAAAAGGCCTGTATTTGATATAGCGCCTTCTAGAGTCCTGGGACCCCCCAAGGCGCTTTACAACACAATCAGTCATTCACCCATTCACACACACATTCACACACTGGTGGTGATGAGCTACAATGTAGCCACAGCTGCCCTGGGGCGCACTGACAGAGGCGAGGCTGCCGAGCACTGGCGCCACCGGTCCCTCCGACCACCACCAGCAGGCAACGTGGGTTAAGTGTCTTGCCCAAGGACACAAACAGTGACAGACTGAACGGGGCTCGAACCTGCAACCTTCCGCTTACGGGGCGAGCACTTAACTCCTGTGCCACCGTCGCCCCAAGATGGTTAAAGTTATTGTATTGAGGCATTTAACATAAAAGAAACAACTTATAATGGCTCCAGTTCAAACAGACAGAGGCAGGGTTAAATAAAGACAGGTAGAAGACAAAGACATTAAAATGGGAGTCAAGGAGACAGATGGAAAAAGCAGCTCCTACCAACTTGTCCTGAAAACCAACCATGTCTTTGAACCTTGTGTTAAAATCTGACATCTCCTTGTATTCCCAACATGAAATGTTTTCAGTTTCCTGCTGAACTGGGTTATCAAAACGCAACAACCCACAACGCTGACAGTGGTGCCTGAACGCTAAAAACAAAACCAAAAGTAAACTCCTGTAAAGTTAAAACGTTTTATCTTGTGCTCCTCTTGTCCAATCAAGTGCAAGGGCTCAAGCTGAACCAGCTGAAGCGTTGCCAAAGCTATTCAAAGGATTTCACTCGGTTTCCTCTGGCCCTGTGTCCTCAGAGATCAGGAAAACTGGTTGATTTAGGTTTAAAACACACTACGAGGATGGACCAGGCATCTAAGGAAATATATGGAAACAAACAACTTACCGCAAAATTCACCCTTCCCACTTATCTTACTTCTCTATTGTTTGCTTTCAAAGATTTGGTCTTTGTTTTTTTAACTATGGTAATGCCATCTAAAAATGTTGTCTCCAACCTATTGATAAAAAAAATGGACTGATAAGGAAAATCATAAAAAATAAAGACTGCAATTGCAGTCCTTCACACTGGGAATCCCCTTTGTGGTTATTTTCCCCCAACAGTGCTATGACAGCAACACTATTCCAGCTGAAGTCTTGGCAGGCTGCTATCAGCTGCTTCCATCAGCAAAACCGGTTAGGATCTCCCGGTTAAAGGAACTGATTAAACTTCTGAATATCCTTTTGTGTCTGATTTGAGCCTCAACTGCTTCAGAATACAGGTTTATTAGCAAAGCACCAACCGAAAATCCTATTTAGATACTTTTAGATATTGGGAGGACGTACAGCTTGTAGCTGACGGTATAAACAACTGTGTATAGGTTACCATGACAACAGCAAGTTTGAGTGTAACACGAGCTTTCTCATTGTAAATTTAATTTAATAACTGCACAGACAATTATGGCAACAAGTAACATGGTAAGGCAGGGGTCCTCAACATAATCTGTTTAAGGGTAAGAGTTTTTTCCAGCAAACATCATGAGGGCCAGATACTCTTCTAAAATAATGTTCAAGTATTATTCTATCTTAAAGAACAAGTTTCCCCCTACTGAAGTCTTACTCCAGACTGACTTCCTGTTTGAAAAATGCAAAAATATGCTGTTGCCTGGCAGACCAAGAGGGCGGAGCCATTAACAATTAATCACACAGACTCACAACAACATTGTGACATCAAATAGTACCAGCTAACATCATAGTGTACCTCTTAACCAAAAGCGATGGCAGATTTGTATTCAAATCCAGTGCAGAGTTTTTACCTGAAGAGGACAGAACACTGACAGTTTTAGCCAGAATATTAAAATTTTAACAAAGATGCACTAAAGTGCCAAATTATTGACTACACATGTCAACAGTACGGTTAGACATTCATTTATATAGTTTATCAGCAAAAAAAAGTGGATTTGGGGGTGACTTGCTCTTTATGTATTAAAAAAATGGCCTTGTTTTCCATATTAACATATATAGTTGTATTTGGAGAACGTAAACATCCGTTGATATTTGGGACATGAATTTTGCTGCTAAACTTCAAAGTCCCCCAATTGGGGGTTGTTAGGGCCCAAAGGTTTGGGAGGCTGGGCAGAAAGGTCTGGAGGGCTGAATGTGGCCCGCGGGCCGCCAAGTGAGGTTCACAGTGGAATGGTAATTTCACAAATAAAATCAACATATTAAGCTATAATACCATGTTACTCGCTGTCATAACTGATAAAACAAGGGAAAATCTCATAGTACATTCAAACTAACTGTTGTCATGGTAACCTTTAAACAGTCTTTGATAGCGTCAGCTACACAGCTGATATTTGGCAAGTAAGTTGGCAACTGAATGTTTTATTTTTACCCTTATAACCTTTTTTATCAGGAACAGTGACCAACTTTAAATAAACAGTGATGTAAACGATGATGCTCAGATGGAGGCGACAGCAGAACACGAAAGGTTAAAACAAGCTTTGCTACTCTGTCCCACTGTGCAAAGACCTAGTTTGGACATTCTACAGACGTGGTCTGGACGGACACTCAATATAGACATGACCTGCACATCCATGCGATGTTGACTGTTTGCAAGGGTGTACTGTATAGAAAAGAACCAAAAACAATGGAATTACAAAACCAACACAGAATGAACGTAACAAACATATTTCACTTTAGGTGACTAAAACCTACAGAACATTTTGCAACAAAAGCTAAGTGTTCCTAATAATTGCTTTAAAATGTAATGCAAAGATGATCCTGTGTTGGTATTTTAATGATATTAAGATTCAAAAGTTTAGCAGCACTGACACCATAGCAGACAGATAAATGTCTAGCTGTGGTGCATGTCACCGCAGTGAAAAAACACACCTACACACAGAAACTGCTGATTCCTTGGAAGAACACTTCCTAATAGCTGTACAAACATGATGAACCCTGTTCATACAAACTGGGTGCAACAAGTGAACTTTGGCTTTTTTCTGTGAAAAGCATTTGAAATTTGTCGTGAAGGAAATGGAAGTTCAAACAAAATTTAGTGAGCTGAGAAAACAACTTTATCCTTTTTATCTTCTTGAATCAAAACAAAATAAAGGCTTTGGACTGAAATGAAAACCGTGGACTTCTGACCATAGGTGGAATACTAATCACAATATACTGGCAGAGATAAAACAGTCTGATAATACTTTAAATTACATGTCTTTTTTATGACTTGAGTTAAATCAGAACAGAAAGAAGTAACTGAACAATCATTCTGTTTTAGACTCTTTATTTGCACATTCTCAGTTCAATTTTCACATCTTGGGTTTAGGATTTAAGTTTCATTCTGAGGCCCTGTCCACACGTAGCCGGGGATCTGCCAAAACGTAGATATTTTTCTACGTTTTGGCCTGTCATCCACACGAAAACGGAGTTTTCTCACACGAAAACGGATCTTTTTAAAAACTCCGGCCAAAGTAAAGATCTGCGTTTTCTCCGTTTTGGGTGTCTGCGTGTGGACGGACAAAACCGGAGTTTTAAGGTCCGCAACGTCACTTTCCGCGACAAAAAAATGCTGACATCACGTGTGCGACCTGTGTTTACACTAGCCGACAGCATGGATGCCCTCAGAGCTGCGCTCGCTTTATCAATTGTCCAAGCGCTTTCTGCTTGTTTGTTTTTGCAAGCGGAATTACTGCTCCTTGCGGAAGACCACAGACGAAGGACGAGGTTAAGAACGGGGGAAGTACTGCCGCCTACAGGTCTGGCATGTCCTTAACAACGTATTTATCCGGGTACGTGTGGACAGTTTTTTTTTAAAACGAGGTGGTGTGGATGCAAGTTTTTGGAGGGGCGGATATTCGTTTAAAAAAAAACGGCTACGTGTGGACTAGGTCCGAGTCATAAAGACGGGCTCCCTTTTCACTTGCCATTGTTTCACCTCAACCAGCCCATAAAATTTTTTCCTTTTATTTCTCTGCATTTACTCATCCCTGGGAGGGGGGTGGCATTTGATCGGCGCTCAGGTGCAACGTTAGGTTTCAGTATCTTCACAAGAAGACTTTGCTGCATGTGCATCGGACCTTGTGGGCCAATTTCCATGGCCAATGTCTAGATAAGGGTTACTCAAATGTAATGGGCCGAGGGCCACTCCACAAAACGACCTGAAATCGCGAGGTCTGGACCGGGAGGCGCTGCTTCTGGATTGTCGGACCGGGACGTGTGTGTGTGTGCAATAGTTGGTGTGCTGGCAGTTCTACACACAACACACAAGCTTACAATATAATGAAACAGCAATGCACACTTGTCCCTTCCCCTCAAGCTCTGACGGGGGGTGCTGCAAGTTTATTATACCAGAGCTGGCCTGCGGGCCGCCTATTGAGTGCCGCTGATCTAGATGTTTTACGCCTTTCTAACATACTATGTTGTCATTAATAATAACAGTGGATGCACAACATTTCTAGGGCTACCACAAACGATTATTTAAAAAATCGACTAGGGAGGCACAATATATCGGCATCAATATCAGTTACGGCCAATGTTTTTTTTTACATACCGGTATCGGTCCAATAAATAAAACTGGGGTGATATTAACAACCAAAATTTTTTCCATTTATTT